CTTTCTCTCTCTGTTGGCTCTAGGGGAAGGAAGTTCCTTGTCTCTTCGGCTTCTATTCCTTGGCTCTTTGGTGATCTTCATGTGGCATGGCATCTATTTCCCTCCATCTCTGCTTGCTCTTTTTATATCTCAAAGGTGATTCTCTCGAACACACTGATATGGCCTCTTAACATAACAAAGAATACCCATTTCCATACGGGATTATGACAACAGGTATAGGGGTTAGGATTTCCAACACATATTTTTGGGGACACAAATCAGTCCATAACACCACACTTTGTAAAATTGCAACCCATACATCTAATCCTCTTTATCCTGCTGTATGATTTCTTTTATCCCACTCTTTTATCACTTCTAAACATACTACATACAAACTATATATAATTTACATATTTATAATATTAATGCATATTGTCTCTCCTCCCACATACACACTAAAATGTAAGCACCATTAGGGCAGGGATCTTTTTGTTTTAAATTTTTATTCTGATAATATTTAACAATAACCAAAAGCAGGGCAGAAGACTCCCCACAAAACATGACCCAGATGGATCAATTATTGATATTTTGCCATATTTGTCTAATCCATCTTTTTTTGGTAAAGTATTTTGATGCAAAGCCCACGTATGTTGTTTTATGTCTACATACTTACATAATCGTAAGTAAAAATATAAGCATTTACTTACATAACAGCAATACCATGACCACACTAACAAAATTAGCAATAATTCTTTGGTATTATCTACTCTCAGTTCATAATCAAATGTCTCTAATTGTTTCACAAAATGACTTTTAATAATAGCTGGTTTGTTTGAATCAGGATCTAAAAAGCGTTATCACCTTACATCTGTCATGTCATGTCTCTTGTTGTTGCTGAAGAGTTGATTCTGACTCGTAGTGACCCTATAGGACATAGTAGAACTGCCCCGTAGGGTTTCCTAGGCTGTAATCTTTTTTTTTTTTTTTTAAATCAGATTTAGATTTATTTTCTCTACATATATCCAGAAAAGTTTAAAAATGATTCAACAAACATAGAGCCATGTATCCATTACTCCGAATTAGCAAATGTTAATGGCATGCAAAGAAATATTAATTATGAATAAATATTCCCTTTTTGGTGATAATAGGGAATTGTATCTCATTTCATCCTTTTGAATACAAGGAGTAAATTATGGCAACTTTCTGGGCTTGTTTAAGATCAAGTTAAACTGCTATAATCTTTATTTTTTTATTGTATTTTAGATGAAGGTTTACAGAGCAAATTAGTTTCTCATTAAACAATTAATACACGTATTGTTTTGTGACATTGGTTGCCAACCTCACGACATGTCAACAACACTCTTCCCCTTCTCGACCTTGGGTTCCCCATTACCAGCTTTCCTGTCCCCTTCTGCCTTCTCGTCCTTGCCCCTGGGCTGGTGTGCCCACTTAATCTCGTTTTCTGTTACGGGCCTGCATAATCTTTGGCTGATGGGTATATCCTAGGCTGTAATCTTTACGAAAGCAGACTGCCACATCTTTCTCCCGCAGAGCAGTAGGTGGTTTCTAACCGCAGACCTTTTAGTTAGCAGCCAAGTGCTTAACCACTGCACCACCAGGGCTCTGAGGCAATCCCTCCCCTCCCCTTATTTTCCATGTTTTTAACTTGTTGCAGAAACTGGGTCAGTTGTTCCTGTTAAATGGCCCACAATTTGTCTGTTGCTCCCCCATGATGACGTTTAACTTACCCTTCTATCCCCTGTATTTCCTGTAAATGAAAGTTAGCTCTCGAGGCCTAGTTTGATTCATACTCAACTTTTTTGAGGGTGGTGCTTTTTGAGTGTCATACTACATCTCATCTGGAGGTCTATGATGTCAGGTTGTCCCTATTTTAGTGAAGCAGAGGTTGATAGTGGTTTAGGTGGCTTGAGCCTGATCAATCACGTCATGGTAAATTTTCCTGCCAGTGTTTCTTTTAATGCTTTTTTAAAAATAATATTTTATTGTATTTTCGGTGAAGGTTTACACAGCAGTTTAGGTTCCCATTCAACAATTTCTACACAAGTTGTTCAGTGACAGTGGTTACATTCTTCACAATGCGGTGAATATTCTCATTATTTCCATTCTGATTGTTCCATTTCCATTAATCTAGTTTCCCTGATCCCTTACATTCTCGTCTTTGTTTTAAAGTAATCGTTGACCACTTGGTCTCATACAGGTGATTTTTTAAAGGAACACAGTACTTACGGGTGATATTCATTATTTTGGGAGGCAATTTCTTATTTAGTGACAAGGTGACCTCAGGGGTTAGTTTCGGTTCAAGGTTTGAATCTTCTAATGCTTTTAGCCACCAATTATTTCACTAAAAAACCCAAACCAAACCTGTTGCTGTCGAGTCAATTTCGACTCACGGTGGCCCCGTGTGTTACAGAGTAGAACTGCTCCATAGGGTTTTCTTGGCTGTAATCTTTATGGAAACAGATCACCGGGCCTTCCTTTCACTGTGCCGCTGGGTGGGTTCCAACCACCAACCTTTAGGTTAGTAGTCAAGCTCAAACCATTTTCATCACTCAGGGATTTACAATTGCAAAATGCTAAGCCTCTGATTCTATCATTCTTTCCACATTTATTAGCAGGAATTCTTCTGTAAAGAACTTTTCCTCATCAATGGGATATTTGGTTACTTGAAATACAGTTCATACAGGTAAGGCAAGAGAGGGCAGGAGTCTTTGTCCATTTTGCTCACAGATGTATCCTAAATGCTAAAATAGTGTCTGGAACATACAGGATACTCGATGAATGTTCTTGAATTGAATTGAAATCCATACATTAAGGATACTATGCAGTTTTTTAAAAAGCACAAAGTAGATCTACACCTGTTTCTACTGACATGGTATTACATTCACAAATATTACTGAGTGAACAAAGCAGGTTATAGAACAGTAAATATAGGATGAGTCAATTTTTACAAAATATGTACATTTTAAATGCATCAAGAACATGATGGATGAATCAACATGTGATAAAACAAACATAATAAAATGTTACTTACAAAATCTATGTGGTGGGTGTATGGTTTTCACTGTTCAATTCATTCAATTTTTATGTTTATTATGAAAATGTTGGAAAAATATATGTGTATAGAAATATATACCTCTGAGGAGTGGGTTTGGGGGTAGGGATGTATACTTTATATATATATATATATATTTTTCCGGTTGTATACTTTTTATATATATTCACACCCACATATGGATGAGCAAAAATTGTGAACTATGCTTTAATAATTCTTATTTCCATTTTTAAGAAATCTATCCTAATATAGGAATTCTAAATGTAGAAAAAAGGGCTTTATGTTCATACTAGAAATAGTTTGTAGTAACAAAAATTTGGAAACAAATGTCTAGTAATAGGAGAGTAATCATATTATGGTGTAGTAGTTCATTATAAATGATAGTTATAAAGACTGCGTAATAATATGAAGTGTAGCACAATGTTCAGTGTAAAAAACTGTGATATAAATTTTTATCAATATTACAATAACTTATAAAAATAGTACACATAGATCACATATTGTATGATTCCATGTTTATGAAATGTCCAGAACAGGCAAATTCATAGAGACAAAAAGTAGATTAGTGATTGCCAGGAGTGGGAGGAGGAGGAAGTGGGAGATGATTGCCAGTGGGTCTCTTTTTGTGTTGATGAATATGTTCTGAAGTTAGGTAGTGGTGATAGCTGCACAATTTTGTAAATATACTAATAACCACTGAATTGTACATTTAAAAGGGTGAAATTTTGGTATCTGAATTATATCTCAATAAAGCTGTTACTAAAAAAATAAAGATGGTATTATTAGGGGGAAGGGTATAAGAAACTCTTTGTACTGTCTTTGCAACTTTTCTGTGTATCCAAACTATTCCAAATATAAAAGTTTACTTCTCAGTGAGATATTATTTCACATCCATTAGGATGGCTATAATAAAAAAGACAGATAATAACAAGATGTGAAGAAACTGGAACCCTCACACACTTCTGGTGAGAATGTAAAATGATTAAAGCCGTACCATGGAAGAAAGGCCTGAAAACCCTATGGAGCAGTTCTACTCTGTAATATGCATTACTTTTAGAAGGAGAAAATAAACTAAAACTAAAAAACAAACAAACAAAAAAACCAGATCTCCATTTCAGAGAACTATTTAAGTGGAAATAACCAGTATTACAACCATACCTCTTAACTCTTTGTAGCTTGTGGGTTTTATATTATATTCATAATATTTTCCTTAATATTATATTAATTTATTATATCTATTTCATGACATAGCTTATATTAAAAAAAAACAAACCATTGCCGCAGAGTCGATACCTACCTACAGTGACCCTATAGGACAGAGTAGAGCTGCCCCAGTTTCCAAGGAGTGCCTGGTGGATTTGAACTGCCGACCTTTTGGTTAGGAGCCAAGCTCTTATCCACTACACCACCACGGTTTCCATAGCTTATATATTTTCATAATATATAGACGCTGTCTATATCTTGTCAGGAGGAGGGACACCAACCCAGGCCCCCTCCAGTTTATCGCTGTTCACCCCATCAGGCCCTCTCAGCTGACGTAGCCCCCTCGTTTACAGGCTCAAAGCCCCTTCCACTCTCCCATCAGGGCCTCCCCACAAAAGAATCTCTTCTTGTCTTGCTTCCCCTTTGGTGGGGTGGCAGCCCTCTCCCTCTGGGGGTGGTGGTGGATGTGGGGAGTGTCACAGGTCCCCGGTCACTGGCCCAGGGCCCCTCCTTCTTCGACTGGGGTCACAGTTCCACACGCAGGGGTCATACCCCCTTCACCTGGGGTCACAGCCCCCTCCCTCGGCGGAGGGGGGAGTCACCGGCCACAGGTAGGGGTCAAAGTTTCACACGCGGAGGTCACAGGCCTCCAGCCCCAGACCTGCCCTCCTTCGGCCTGGGTCCCAGTTCCCCGCCCAGAGTCCCGGGTCCCTCCCCCGAGGTCCGCGGCCCCTCCCTCAGAGCCATGGTCCCTGCTCCAGGGGCCCCAGGCCCTCCCCGGGACTCTTTAGGCTCCTGCCCGAGAGTCCCGACGTGCGAGGGGACCTCGTCTAAGGCTTCGGACTGCTTACAGCCCTCGTCCTCATCATCCTTCCAGCTCTCCTCGCGGCTATCGACGGCGACCTCAGGGGCGGAGAGGTCGCCGCTGTGCCAGGCCCCGAAGCGCGGGATGGCGGCCGCCGCGCTGCTGGAGGCCGGCCTAGCCCGGGTTCTCTACTACCCGACACTGCTGTACACTCTGTTCCGCGGGAATATGCCCGGCCGGGGCCACCGCGACTGGTACCACCGCATCGACCCCACCGTGCTGCTGGGCGCGCTGCCGCTGCGGAGCATGACAAGGCGGGTGAGCGGGGCGGAAGCCGGCAGCGCCGGGCCTGGGAGCGGGGCGAGAGCGGCCCACGGCCCCCACGCCGGCCTGCCCCTCCCCGCCGCGCTGCCAGCCGTTTCTGAGCCCCCTCTTTCCTCGGCAGCTGGTTCAGGACGAGAACGTGCGCGGGGTGATCACTATGAACGAGGAGTATGAGACGAGGTTCCTGTGCAACTCCTCAAAGGTGAGGGGCCGGGGTCCCGGGAGACCAGAGCCCGCGGGGTGGAGGGCGATCGGGGTCGCGGGGGTGGGATCCGGGCCCGCGGGGAGGAGCTGGGGCAGGTGCCCCGGGCCTTGCCCACCACCCTGGACCTACGAGAGCTGGAGGCGACTGGCGGGGGTGGGGGTGGGGCTGCAGGTCACCTTGCCCCAGAGACACGTGCCCCAGGCGTCTCTGCCTCCTCTGGAGGAGGGTCGAGTCCTCTAAGTTTCAATGGCTTGGGCTGGAGGTGGGATAGAAACTAATTACAAAAGGAATTTTCTTAGTTTCCTAGTGCTATTGTAACAGAAAAATACCACAGGTGGGTGGCTTTAAAGAACAGGAATTTATTGTTGCAGTTTTGGAGGCTGGAAGTCCCAATCAGAGCATGGGAGGGTTCTACCTTTGTTAGGTAGGCTGCTTGTGGATTATCTTCACATGGTGTCTGTCTTCCCATGTGCGTGTTTCTCCGTCTATTCTGCGTTTTTAGTAAGACACCATTCAGAAGTAATTGGGTTTAGGACGCAGCCTACACTGGCATGACCTCATTAACGTAAAACCCCAGTGTCCAAACAGGGTCACATTAACAGGTACAAGGACTAGGACCTCAACATATATTTTGTGGGGACATAATTCAATTCACAATAGCATTTTAAAGTTGACAAAATCTAATTGCTCATTTGTGCACAAATGTCATCTTAATTTCTGTAACATAAATCAGTAACCAAAGAAAAATAAAGAAGGCAGCTCTTCCATGGGTTACTGATTTCATTCATTTAACAGTTTCTGAGCTCCAAGTATGGATCAGGCACTGTGTTTGGCATTCAGGATGAAGGCCTTGCCAAGTCTAAGATGAAAAGTAGACCCTCCGCCCCATCCAACACATACATACGCAGTATACATTAATCATAAAACTAACTACCCATTGAAAAACTGCATAGGGTTCATTTGGCTCTGAGTTGAGGGAATTTTTATTCATGTGTTAGAGATCATAGTGGAACTCCAAAGTACTGTCATAACAAAAACCCCTTGCTATCTAGTCGATTCCAACTCATAGTGACCCTATGGGACAGAGTAGGGTTTCCAAGGAGCAGCTGGTGAATTCGAACTGCTGACCTTTTGATTAGCAGTCATAGCTCTTAACCACTGCGCCACCATCATAACAAAGTTCAGGCCTAAAATATAAATTTTCATTAAATGTTAGTGCTTGTTTGTGGAGCCTTCCACAATGGTTATTAGAAGATGTTGCCCTATCTTTCTTTGTAGTGTTTGACATCTATTAGCATTAAACAATTATCTTTTCTTTTAATTAAAAAAACTTTTTTTTAATTATACTTTAGATGAAAGTTTACAGAACAAATAGTTTCTCATTAAACAGTCAGTTCACATATTGTTTTATGACATTGGTTAACAACCCCATGACATGACAACACTCTCAGTGACATCGATTACATTCTTCCAGTTGTGCTGCTATTCTCACTATCCTTTTCCAACTTATTCCATCAACATTATCTTCAACTCACTGCCCCCTAGGCTTCTCATCAAACCTTTTGAGTTGCCGTTGTCAATTTGATCTCACAAAGATAATTGCTTTTTTTTTTTTTGGAACCTTAAATGAAGGTTTGCAGAACAAATAGTTTCTCATTAAACAGATAGTACACATATTGCCCT